GCTGCTCTCTGCGGTGCTGCTGACGGGAGGCTGGCTTCGGCCACGGCCCTCAGTCCCTTGGGGCAGGGAAAGTGAACCCCGAGCTTCCTTCTCCGGTAGCGGGACTCAAAAGTAGGAGGTCAGGCTGCGCAGCTCCCAGGAAAATCAGGTGTCTGCTCACACCTGCCCGGGGGAGGCATCTTTTCTTAGCTACACGAAAAAAGCAGCAGCTGTCAGTCAGTTATCTCCACTGGTGAATCGAATTTTCTTTGGCGGGGAGGTGGGGACCGGGGAAAGACTGGACATGTAGGGATTTATCTATTGTGCGTGTCAGGCTTCAGGAGCCTTGGGTGTGGTCTTTGTGGCACACAGGTGCACGTAGACTGTCCGGCTGCCCTGCGTAGACTCCTGCCAGGTCCTGGGGTCTCTCTGCAAGGCCTTCGCGGAGAGATGGCCCCACTGCATTGTTAGTGTCTTTTTTCTACTCATCTCCTTCTGTCTGGAGTGTAGGACGCTTCTCCCCAAATTCATATAATAGTTAAATGCTCTTTGTCTCAAAAAACCTATGAAGACTTCAAAGTTCCCCTCAAATACAGTATTACAGCATCCAGAGCTCACTTCTATGGTGCTAGCAGAGTGAAATGAATTAATATCCAATAGGCAGCCCTTGTGCTGACATTTTGTTAACAGGACAGTGAAATTTTCAGTACAAGTGTTGTTTCCCTTCAAGTATTTCCAAACAGAAAAGTCTCTGTCAATCATCAAAAGAAAACATTCCTTCACTCACAGGCCACTGAGAATCATATAAATATCTTGCATCTGTTTCCAAAACGTGGCCCCTGACACTCTGGCCAAATATTTCATTTGTATGGAACTCTCAGAAGAGTTCCTGGTATTCTCAGTGTGAACTTTGTAGGCATCTCTGCAGAAATATTTGTGCATGTGAAGGCGCTGTGTTTTAAAAGCATGTTGTCTCATCCCAACTTGAGCCACTTCAGCTGGTGTTTGGAGCCAGTTTTGTGCTTCCCCAACACTTCCTTTGGCCAGTGGAGACTTCAAAACCCCCTTACCCAGCCCCTGTTAAAGGGCTGAGTAAAAAAGAATGCCCTTCCCGTTAGCTGATAGTGCTTTCCAAATCTATTATTGTGAAATGTTTGTTTGGTGTTTGTACTAAGCTTTAACATTTGCACAGTAAGGCAACAGAAGGAGTCTATTTTATTGGGTTTGGGAATAATTCACTTTATTGGCATCCTTAGTGTGGGAACGGCAAAGACCAAACATCGATATCACAGTTAAATGGTCTATGGGAAGATTGTTTGCCTTGGTCCTCACAGCATAGTCTTTATTAAATAGCTTCATGAATTCTCCCAACTATTGTTATTATTATTATTATTATTAATTTATTTATTTTGGTACCAGGGATAGAACTCGGGTCCTTGTGCTTGTGAGGCAGGTGATGGAACCACTGAGCTAAATACCTGGCCCTCACAACTATTATTTATTGATGAAAGTTCTTTTGGTTTCTGTACTGTTCTAATATGCTTTTATTCGATTTTGTTTATTCTGTACATTGCTGCCAGAATTATGTAATGTGCTTTTTCAATGAGCTGCTGACTGGAGAATGAGATAAATCAAGATGTACTAATATCATCCGGTGCTTTATACATGAAAATACTAGCTGAATACTGCTAATTAGTGATGGAAATCATGAGAAACATTTCAATTAATTAAAAGGCAAGAAAAATGCAAACTGTCAAATTTTTAAGGTTACATAAAATTACAGATGCTTATTAAAATAAGAGACAAAAATAACAGTATTATTTTAGATTTTTAAAATCTTACTGAAGCCTCATGAAATTATTATTTTTTTATTTAATAATCCTTTCTCTTCTGTCACTTTGGAAATTTGAAAAAGTTGCATTTTCTATTTCCAAATTAGAATATGTTAAATAAAATCCAAATCCAATTTTTAAATTTTATTTAATCATTTAATATACTTTTTTCTCAAAGAGCATTTAACGACTCTTTACAATACGTTTATGTCAAGGTCTTTGAAATATCTTAATTATATTTCAGAAAAAAGCTGTTAAATTTAATGGTTTAAATGAAGAAAACTTCACAATTACTAGTCATAAAAGTGAAAGATTCTTTAATGAAAGGTGGTTGAAAACCTCAGGGTTGAAGAACAAAATTAACTCTGAGGTCGCAGGTGTCCAAACTTCACAGTGAAATTTTACATGAATCACCAGTGACATTTTCTTCTCAGTGTTTTTATTTAAGTAGTTTTCTTTGAATTTATATTTAAAATTTCAAAGTTTTCACTCTAATAAGGAAGATGTTTAGCTTGCATTAAATTTTATCTCCCCTCTTAACATTTTTTGGGGGAATATGATTGCTTCTAATTACTTCTTGCATTTGCTAAGTATTATTTCCCTAATGAGTAAAATCCTTATTTACCTTCATAATCTTCCTTTTTATAAAAGTACCTTTAAGATTCTTTCTAAGGCTGTACATATTTCAAATTTTAACTTTTATGGGTCATTTCTGAAAAGCACAACTTTACAAAGTCATGTATGAAACATTTACTTTGAATGCCACTCACCCTTCCCAATAACACATCCCAAAGTCAATGTTTGGTATTTAGCTTTATACTGGTATAGCAGGCGGGATGTTTCCTTCTCTTTCCACCTCCTCAAGATGAAGCTAGTTTCACACAGTAGAAGGAATAGCTCTGAACCTGCTTCTGTATTTAGCAGTTCCATTGGGCAATGACCAAATACCCAATAATGTCTGAATATTTTACTATTCTCTTTGTTTTTGTTGCTTTTCTTGGTATCTGGAAAGTTATGCTAAGGTCCAAGGAACAGAGTGTGTTCATCACATGTGGTGGGCTCAGCTCTGAACTGTCTTCCCAGGCTGGTGGTGGCCTCATCTTCAGCCAGTGGCATCCATGCTTTTGTGGCTACAATGAGAGTGGGGCTGTGGCTGGTATTTTCGCAGTACCAGGACGGCACTTAAGGGAAGTGCTGGGGGAGAGTGGTTTAATAATAAAAAGAACAAAAGTTGTACAAATTCACTATGGAGGCAAAAGAATTGTGATGATCATGGGGGATCAAGGAGGTCCAAGATGTCTGTATGGTTCCCCTGACTGAATGTACCCCCAATCTCAGAAGCTATGACAGGTGTCCCAAGCTTGCTGTCCATGAGCTTGTGCCCCAGAGGAGTGTCTTGGTCAGTTTTCTGTGATTATGACAGAATACCATAGCCTAGGTAACATGTAGAGAATGCATGTCCCTTTTCACTGATGATTCTCGAGGCTGGAACACTGTGATGAACACAAGCATCTGGTGGGGGCTTCCTGCTGTGCGGTGACTCAGTAGGAAGAGTGAGGGGCCACATGGCACAGAGACAGAACAAGGGAGGAGAAGAGAAGCTTTACAGTGACCTGTGTTCAAGAGGAAGTGCAAACTCGGAAAGAAAGGCATGAATTCCTCCTCAAGAACTCACAGCCTCCTCCCATCGCCAGCACAAGGTTTGCAGGAATTGGGCTGTATTCAAACCAGCAACCGTAGAATACAAATTTTTCTTGTTACGACATTGAGCTAATGAATTGATGGGTTACAGAGAACAGTTTTTCCTTCTTTCTGGTCAGTTTTATAACTAAATGCCAAGTAAATATATTAGTCCAAGCTTGACTTGTTTTGAGTCATCACAGTTCAGTGTCCTCAAACTATTTAATACCCAAATTGTCAGAAATGTAGTAAGTTGATGACATTCATTCAGATGAAGTGTAGTTCCTCAGGACCTATGAAATCCAGCCTTAGATTGTATTTCATTAACAACAGGCTTTAGCTAATATTGGAAAGCATTAATTTTGTTTTTTTTTGGTACCAGGATCGAACTTGGGACCTTGTGCTTGTGAGGCAGGCAGTGGCACCACTGAGCTACATCCCCGGCCCTCTTTAGCTAATATTGACCTCATAAAAGACTTAGGTCACCAGCACCCACAGTTTCTTTTCTTTTTAAAAAATTTTATTGGTACATTTTAGGTATACAACATGATGATATTCATCATTGGAGATTTGTACCTTTACATAATATACCTTGATTCTTATTTTCCCCCATATCCTGCCCTTCCTTCACCCCCTCCACCCTTCCCCATTTACAAGGTCTGTTTCCATTTTTTCATTTTCTCATGTTAAGTCATTTCTCCTAGTCCATTATTTTCTGTTCTTATTAAATATCTATCTATCTATCTACCTATTTTTCTATCTCCAAAGATATTTTGCATGACTATTTACACCATTATTATTATTTTGTATTATATATATTATAATGGTAATTGGGTAGTTTACTTGACTTTACATAATTAAACTGTATCAAGCAGATTTAGCTAGCCTAGAGTATTTATGTTTAGAGTCGTATTTTGATTAAGTGAGTGGACATGAAGCAGAAAAAAAGAGGGTCTAGTTTATGGTAAAAATTTCATTGTGCATTTTTTTAACTTAGTTATGAGGGTTATTGGTTTCATGAAATGTGGTAACCATTGCAGTTAGGCTAGGACAAAAAAAAACAACCCAGGAAGTAGATGGTCCTAGGAGCAACGCTTTGACTTTTAATACCAAGCTGATTCAAAGGAAAAACATGATACCTTAGAAAGTATTTATCATGTAAGAGAAAAACCATGGTTAATCACACAGCTGACTTTGTATATATTTAAGCAATTTGCTATCAGAGATATTTGTATAGTCGATGCGGATACTATGTATTCAGCTTATTATCTTATAGCAATATATGAGAATAAAATGTCTTTAAAATTATTAAAAAATAAACTGATCAAGTATTGAAATGAGAGGATAATTAGAATAGTGATAGTACTAATTTTGAGTTGAATTTCTTATTCCAGCCATAATAAAAACTTCAAAGTGACCAAAATATCCTAGTAGCACAAATACAAAGGAATTCTAAGGGGTGCATGATGTGTTGAAAGAGTTTAAGTTTTAATTTCTTTCTCCCAACAGCTCACAGTGCTATGAATGACACCGATGTCCCCATGGAAACAACCGAATGCCTTCAAGGTCAAGGAGAAGGATACAGGGGGACCGTCAGTTCCATTTGGAGTGGAATTCCCTGCCAGCGCTGGGACTCCCAGTACCCCCACAAACATGACATAACTCCTGAAAATTTCAAGTGCAAGTGAGCAACTGAGCTAAACACCTACATTTCCATAGGTCCCAGAGGAAGGGAGGCAAAGCGAGTCCCTTTTACTGATTTTTGTGTTAGCAGTCCTTAAACTTTGGTGTGCCCAGATACACACTGGAGTGAAAAAGGACATTATATCCTTACTGGGAGAATTTGTATTACTTTAGTCTTGGATTTGGCCCCCAGTAGGCCTCTAAAAATTTCCTAAGTAGAAGGTTGAAGTACTAGGCTTTGGAAACACAGCTCTAGCTTATTTCTAATCCTCGCTTTGCTCTCTAAAGTCTGTTAATAAATCTGTTAATGCTCACAACAGCTATTCATGTGGTGAACCAGTGCCTTCCTGCATTATCATATTAGCTTGGGGAAGGAATTACATAGCTTTTTCCCTCAAGAGAAAAATATACCTTCATTTTAATCAACAGTTCAAACTGGTAACATTTCAGCCTTAAGCACTGATGAACAGAATTATTTTCACATCTTAAATGAAGGTTTCCAATTGTTGGAATTGTGATAAGTGCAGAGGAAAAACAATTGTTTATATGGGTCAATCCAAAGCATCTGGCCTCCGGTCACCCATGCACTTGTTAGCAGCCTCCTCCACGGCTGCTCTTTCTCACCAGTTGGCTTTGTTGGACAGATACATCCCAATGCCATGTGTTTTTAAATTTTCCACTTTGTTAGGAGGAACAAAAAATGATTGCTTTTGAAATTTATGACACACATGCTATGCATAGTGGCTGTGTTGAAATAGCACCTATAAATAACATATATTGGTTTTATATAATTGGCTTTTAATGGAGAGCTTTGAGCACTAGGGCCCCATCCACTAGGGGTGTGTGTGTGTGTGTGTGTGTGTGTGTGTGTGTGTGTGACCCAATTCAGTCACTTATTTGTTTAGATGATAATTATCCACATGCTAATATTCTTTCATTACTTTATGATAACAACATTATAGTTGCTAATCTGGTTTTAGTACTATCATTTCCTTCATAGCAATTTATTGTTTCCTTTTAAACTATGTGTTTTGTACTTAAATAAATTAATATTAAAGCAGGGAAAGAAAAGAAAATGTGAGAAGATTAGTTAAAAGGGACAAAGGAGACAGAATTAATGTCACTCACATTTGTGTTAACAGTTAATAAATGGTAATACACAAATAAAAATTGTATATGTTATAGGCCCAGTAAACTGTGTCTGTAAAAAGAAAGAGAACAACTCTAGCAATTGAATTCATTGACCTCACAGTGTCTCCCCTTGGAGTTCAAGCCTGGCAGTTTAGTTATTGGTTAAATAATCAAACAGGTACCAAATACACCAAAGAACAAGCCATGTTTCACTGGTGGGACACAGTGCTCAGCTCTGAATGTTGATCTGCCATTTACTATTTTTGATCTAGCAGAATAGCGAGCATTCGTCAGGGTCTCAGTCCTGTTAAATATTATTTGCCCCCTTACTGAGACTCCTTAGAAATGACAATCTTTATATTCTTTTTTTTTTTTTTTTTTTTTTTTTTTTTTTT